TAACTGTTCGATATCTCACTTCTGAGTGACTACATTTTTAACTATATTCTACGTGTGACGCTTCTTTTGGCGCGGTAAATGAAGTGTTAATGGAGATTTAACTTATTATAAAAGGGTCATACCGAACAATATACTTTCCTCCCAATTTATTTGCTTGGGTTTGACAAATAATCACACCTTATCCTGAGTGTTTTCTGGTGTATTTTCAGTGTCGATTAAGAGGAAAGATAGATTCGAACGGTGTTGTGGCTGTTTTCTGGAGGAGCGTTTTAATATGGGACTCAATTTTATTCTTTCGGCTGAGGTGAGGACGAATAACATAACTACTGCTTTTAGTATCCTGCTCGTTTTTTTTTCTTCTTGTAATTACTGTATCTTTGCAGATAGATTATAAAGAAGAAGGATTACAAGTTTGGATTTGGACTGACAGTCGGAGAATAGAACTAGACGGGCTTTCAATTGGCGTTTCCATTTCAGCTGGTTGTTGCAAACATCATGTGGGTTCGTTAGATTTTTCTCGTTGTTTGATTTCTTGTATCTGCCCAACGACAGTACTCGTATATACGAGAATCAGATTGGTTTTTAGTAGTAAATTTTGCAGGTTTGGTGAGATCTTTGATCGATTCTCCAAAATGCGTTTACCTTTCCTTACATTTCATCGGTTAGTTCGATTATTTTTGTGTTTTTTGAGATAATAATTACTCATTTCCAAATCAACATGGAGAAGGAGAAAATGTGTTCTCTATTGTTTAATTGTTATTTTTGGAAACTTTTTTTTTTAAATGTTTTGGTGATGGCTATCCTATTTGCATATGATTTATGAAGATTGAAGAGTGTATTTGGTAAGCATTATAAATTAGTTCGTAGTTTATTTAATTAGCTTATAAACTTTTGTTGTTCAAATAAGTTTGGTAGGATTATTTTTTTAGAAAATTCGACCATATCTCAACATTATATAGTAAGCATATTAATATGTTTATTTTAGTTAATTAATTAGTTAATTTTATTTAACAAT